AACTCTTCTCTCTCTCTCTCTCTCTCTCTCTCTCTCTCTCTCTTCCTCAAGTCAGAGAGGTTCCAGGTCGAAACCAGAGACAAGGCCGCGTCTCGCCAATGCACATTGCGCAGCAGAAGTGATCTTGTCTCCCCCTCTTTCCCCACAGAAGCAATTCGCTGCAGCGCTTCTGCAGCCCCCAGGCCAATTGCAGCAGCAGACCCTCCAGCCAAGGTGGCTCCTCTCACTGCATTGTCCTATCGCAGCCTCTTCAGTGGTCCTGGCGGCGCTCAACGCACTGCACCCGTGACGGGCATGAGGAGGGGCTCAGCTGCAGCACTGTTTGTGTGGCAATGATGCTTACTTGCGATTCCCCTCATGAGCAACCTCACTCGCTCCGCCGCTGTGAAAAAAAAAGCAAGACACCCGGAGATGAGCGGCTCATGCGGATGGAACCCGTCCTATCTGTACCGTGCGTGAACCCACCAATGCCCGCCAGCGCTGCGTCCACTGAGCCTTGGGGGGGCGGAGAGGGGGGCTGGTGCCTCGCCCGGGGGCCCCTCGGGGCCGTTCAGGGCTGCCTCTGGGAGGGATTTGCGTACCAGGGCCATGAATCAGATGCCTCCACTGTCGTCTCAGCCTGATGAACAGCGGAAGTGGCCCATGGGAAACGGTCTTAACCACGGGTGCACCGGCGACGAGGGACCACGTAGTGGCCATCGCGGCTTGTCTGCAAACAGCCGTGAATCCGGCGGTCTCAAACGTGGCCGCCGAGACATTCTCTTGTCAGGCACTTGGTTGGTAGACATCGTTCTACATGTACCAGGAAGGGCCTAGAAACTCCACTTCCCGGCACTTGACCCCAGTCAGACCTGGTCTTCGTCAAGCAGTGCTTACCTACACCCGGCTGCTCTCCGCCAATTGTCCTGAAATGACCGGTGGCGATGGCCTCATTTGCACCAGATTGAATCAGCCCTTACGAATAAAGAAGGACAGATATATCGCACCAATAGAGGACCTCGGTCAGGAGCAGTAGGCATCATCGTACCCTCTGTCACGTAAATTTATCCATTGGCCATTCTATATCGACGTAGACTGATCGTCCTGTCTGGGTGAAAATAGCGAGCCTGTGGCGTCACCAGCCACAATACGAACGACCAGAGGCCATCGCATCTTTCCATTCGAGTCGGCGCAGAGGCAGGCACCAGCCCACAGATGACATCGGCACTTGACATGAGGTCATCAATCAAGATTCCGGAATCGAAGCAGTCTGAATACCGAACGCCTTCGCCTCATAGAGCAGCCTGCCGCACCTACCAGAGCCTATATTGAAAGGAACCTGCGATATCGGGCTTGTCTTGGCCTTCACGCCCTAGATTCAGACTCAGCATGTCATCGTCAACCGAAACACTCCGTCGTACCCGCTTCGTCCTCATCTCCGACACCCACAATCACACACCTGCCCTACCCCGTGGCGATGTCCTCGTCCATGCTGGTGACCTGACGAACCAGGGATCATATTCCGAGGTAAGACTGCGGCCTCCTCCAGGTCTGTTTCCCAGTTCCAGGCCTCGGCCGTCCGAGTACGAAACACTTAAGGATGGTTTTCAAGCTTCGAGGGCTTAGCCTGCGGGATGTGATGGCATCAGTATTTGTTGTGTGCACGCGAATCAGCTCATCCTGAATCAGGGCCAGGACGCGAGGGTCGACTGAAACGCCGCAACTAATCCTCGGTCAGTTGTCTCGGGTCGTCCAGTGGTTAGAGAAGGCAGACTTTGAATCCAAAATAGTCGTTGCAGGTACGTTGGCCCTCCTGAATTCTGAAGGGATGAACCTGTGTCTCCAGAATCACCTCGGCGTCTGGGGCTGCCGTTGGTGTCTCCAGCTGTCCCCAGCAGCGGTTCCATGCTCAACTTGGCCTTATGCCGACGACTGAATGGCTACGCAGGAAACCATGACCTGAATCTTGATCCCAAGCTCGTCGCCAGTCGGGGCTCCTCGCTCGCCGACTCCTCTCACACTCACCAAGACTGCCTCAACCTCCTGCTATCCTCCCCATCGATCACCTACCTCGCCCACGCCTCGACCACCATCCGCCTCTCCTCGCCAGAAGGGCCACACACGACTTTCACAGCCTTTGGCTCCCCCTTCTCCCCCCTATCCTCCCTCCACGGCTCGTTCTCGGCCTTCACCTATGCCTCCCCCCTCCACCCCCTCACCCCAACCACAGCCGCCGACCTGCCGTCCCTCTGGGACGCCATCCCCCTCGACGCCGACGTCGTCATAATTCACACGCCGCCGCGCGCCCACGGTGACGAATCGCCCGCCCGCCGCTCAGCCGGCTGCGAAGCCCTCCGCCGCGCCCTCTGGCGCGTCCGCCCACGCCTCGCGGCATGCGGCCACGTCCACGAGGCGCGAGGCGCAGAACGCGTCCTCTGGGACCTGAGCTGCGGCAACGTCGCCTTCAAGGAGACGTCCGTGGAGCAGTGGGTCGATCCCGCGCCCGAGGGCAAGAAGCTGAGCATCCTCAGTCTCGGGTCGCGAGGCGGGAAACCGCTTCGGAACGACGGTGGGCGCGGCACCTGGGCGGAGCGGGACGACGCGGTGACGCAGCCGTCGACGGCGGCGATGCAGTCTGGTGTTCCGGGGGCCGCGATGCCGCATATTGGAACGCGGGGACTGGGAGGCGATCCGTCGTCGGCGCGGAGCGATGGCGAGGCGTTGGCGGGGAGGCTGGGCCGGTTGGAAACCTGTGTTGTGAACTGTGCCATCATGGCCAAGAGCTACCCGCATGTTGGCGGGAGGAAGATGAACAAGCCCATCGTGGTCGACCTGGATCTTCCGGTCTGGTGAGAGGGTAGATATGGTGTCTTGCTCGTGGCATCTCCTTACCCTGTGCACCTGTCCCTCCAGACTCCGTCTCATGAAGCTCAGAGCTCCAGAGAACCACTAACAGGCGCCACGATGTATCTTAAGCTGCACGTACTTACTTCCTCATGAGTCACGACGCTGAGAGGGGGCAGGTTGATGATGAAGTTGACTTTCTGGAGTATTCTTTCCTTCCACAGCGTGTGTAAACACCTTCACCTCATCGTGCGATGGAGTATCACATAGAACCACACGCATCACATTATTTAGGCATTGCTCAACCCACGCCTAAGGGACGAAGTAGAGAATGCTTTCGAAACGCCAGTCTAGACCGACATCATGGCACTTGTCTCGAAACATTGATTCTGTTCCAGAGGAGCCCAGCAGTGTACGGAGCATCTCGGTCAACTTGTCACATTCCATCATCACCCCCATGACCCATCGCCGAGCCGCCGCACATCCGGCTGGGATGCCCAGCCTCGTCACGGAATATTTCCCCGACCCCCTCGCGATCGACAAGAGCTTACCCAAGCTCTGGCCAATCCAGTCCGCCGCAACTGCCGGACCCCTGAGTCACGTTGCTTTGATGCCCCCCGAGCTTCGAGCTGACACTTGCCGCCCTGACTTGTGAAGCTCAAGCCACATTTGCACGTTGCAACCCTCTGGTAACGTGGTCAATGTTGAGTGATCAAAGACCAGTGTGGACGAAAGACAGAGAGGGAGGCTCAGTTGAAAACCACCTTGGGAGGGGAAGCACCGGGCGCTTGCTCGATGACCTACGTCCAATGGAGCAGCAGGTGCTGACGATGCAGGTGCTCTGGCTGCGCCATTAAAACCCCTGATCGCGGGGTTGCGATGATGGCGTCGAATGGCGGGGTCAAGTGGGCAGGGCTCGGGCGAGCATGGTGGCGAAGGAGCGATCGAGACTGTACATGTAGGCTGGGCTTCAACTTTTGGTATACTGTATCACCCATGACACAGGAAGGGATGCGAGGACTAGAATTGCGAGGTCAACCAGAAGTATGGCGGACGAAGAGTGCCTGAATCCCGATCAGACGCAGGAGGGGAAGCTGGGTCAATCTAGATTCTGGCGCCTATAGCAGTGACGAAGCTGCCGATATCCAGAGGGCGCGGGGGGCAGCGATGTATCCCCCAAATCAATCTATTCAGGACCAGACGTGATGCATCCATGATTCGCAACTGAAGCCTGGTCCCGCGCCGTTGCAAGGGTAGGTTTATCTCTGCTTGAGTGGCAGAACGTAGCGGCGTCAATGGCGGCAAGTTGCGTCCTAGGTTGCCAGTCTCTTTATCCGACAAGAAAGCGGAGCTTTTGTACGGTATACCCAGGGGTACAGCGCATCAGCCGGCGTACTCGCGTCTCGCGCTGACTCGTCTTGATGGATGAAGCTGTGTCCCCGATACAGATCTTCTCGTCTGATGATTGAGAAGTTGCACCTCCGATCATCGCGGCTGCCCCGCCCCCACCCCAGAAGCATGTCGAGCACCTTGTGGTCTTTCGATGTTGGCGCCCATTTACCCTTTGGTGAGGAAGCAGTGAGAGAATGTGGTAAGACAACACTGGAATCCCTCACGAATACGGCACCGTTCTGCACCGGTGGCACCAGCAGGTGATCACCAGCGGTGCCGCTGTGGAGTGGTCGATCATGCTCGGCGGATCAAAGCTCACTGGTGGGCACCAAGGCCACCCACTGAACGGGTGCTGGTGATAATTAGTGGTGGGCCTTGAAGCCGTTGCTGGCCAGACCGCTCGCTCGTCATCCAGACGACTCTCTAGCGAGCTAGGTCTACCCCGAGAGACACAGCTTTGTATTGTGTTGATGCCAGTACCCCGCTGGGCCTCCTCCTCCTCCAGGTCATTGTCCGGCCTCGAGCAGCCTGAAGCAGCAGCCCAATGCCGACTCTCTCCTGTTGACCATGGACGCACTCGCTTCGAGGTCGAAGGGCCCTCGTCGACGAAGGGCCCTCGTCGAGACTGGCGTCTCACTGGCCAGGACAAGATGGCAAGGTGATTGGACGGGATGAGCCTGGTGTGAATCGAATCGTCCCGGCCGCTGCCCCTCCCTCCCGCGACGGCCGTCTGGACTGACAAGCCCGCACGCACCAATCACGAGAGATGATGGGGCACCCTGTTGAGCTACGGCGCGGATGGGCTTCACGTGGGCACAACAACATCCACGGACAGGCGTGGGGCGTCCACCAACTTGAGATGGAAACCAAGCCCATCGACGAGATGGCGTACATAGTACCTGCTTCTCTGCTCGTTTGAGGGTGCCGTCGACCGGTGACCTTTTGTGATGGGATCCTGAGACACGCATATCAACTGTTTGGGAGGGCTCGTCATAAAACTATCATGGGATAAGAGACGTGAGCAGGCGACCACAGACTTCGTCATGGTGGATGGATGTGACATGCTCATGAGTACCTAGATGAGGACGTGCGAGTGGTGCAAACCGGTGGGAAGAAAGCGCACATGGTTCCCTTTGGGGGTGTATCCAGATTTTTGCAGCTAGAACGCCCAGTGGCCAGCCCATTAGATGTGGCTTCATAAGTTGTGGAAGGTGATGGAATGGCCGAATGCGTGGGATTCCAAGGGGGGGGGGGGCGTCCGGAGGGCGAAGGCCACGACAGTAGGGCAATGCGGGTGACGAGCCAACTGGAAGCCGGCCGTGGGGTGCGCAGGCGGTGTCGACTGGCCCACCTGCATGAGACGACAGTCGATCGACCAGTCAGGCACAAGGCGATGGTGCCGAAAGGGCAGATGCTGCAGCGAGGGCGACGAGTGAAAGGTGGAGGTCACGGCAACGATGTGATGGAGAAAATGGGGCAGCAGGCGTGAGCTGATGCCAGAACTCAGGATGGCGGTCTGAATCTGGGTCTGAATCTGGGTCTTGGTGGATGAGGATGACGAGATGGAAGATCGAAGAGCCATCGTCTCGTGAGGCGTGGTGGAGTGAAGGGGGGGGCTATCGAATGGATGGATATATGGATGGTGGAGCTGACCCCGTATGTACCAGGGAAGGTACATATCTACAGTAACAAGCTACCCAGGTAGCTCATGCCTGCCCAGGAATTCAGGATGCGCTGGAAGGGCAACAGCGATGGGGATGACAAGAGCAGGCACATTGGGGCACGGTGTATTGGGGGCTGAGGTAGGCCCATCAATTAATAGGTACCCAGCCAGGTACCGTAGCTACACGTAGTGGAAGGAGTGGAAGGAAGGAGGAAGGGCGGATGAATGCATAGGTACGGTACCTAGGGGAAGGAAGGCACGACCACAACATGTACCCAAGGGCAACTGCAGAAGGTCCCTGAGCGGACGATGGGACGGAAGGAAGCGTCAAGGCACAGACAGACAGACAGACAGACAGACAAACTGGGCAGGGAACAGACATCAGACAAGGCCAATGACACCACCAGCTGATGCTATTTGCCCGACAACGCACGCATCGCGAGACCATCGCTCTGGGCCCTGCAGCTAGCAGCCCCGAAATCCACTGCACAGCACAGCAAGCAGGTCGCCGTTGGTCAGGCCCGCAGCCAGACCAGCCAGCACCGAGCGATCCTGGACTCAATTGTACGGTTGGCCGACTATCGCGTCCATCGTCCATCCCAGCCCGCTTCTCCTTTCCATTCCTGATCAAGGCCTTACATAGTAGTCCATATGGCTCATGGTACCAAGCCATCCGATCTGGACATTGAGCTGCCCTCACGCCTGTGCAAACCAGCCTGTTCTTGGTATAGATATCCAAATCTCCTGTCGAGCCGGGCACCGGGTCACCTGCTCATGACCCGAGGGTGATAGCATTTGCAGGGCCGCCTTGCAAACGAACATCAAACCGAAGCGACGCATCCGCAGCGACAGACCCGAGACTCTCCACCAAGGCACCCCTCACCGCCAGATTCACGCCTCGACCCCCCGCCGTTCTGGCTCAAACGATACCTCATTTGGCCATTTGCACGACTGAGAGAGGAGTAGGAGGGGACTCTTGCATCAATACTGCCTCGACGCCCATAGCAACGCCTTGCTGGCGCAGTCTCCGTGCCGTTGCGGTTCCAAACAAGTCCTCGTCAACATAGATCGCATATCGCCCAACTCTGACATTGTCTCTGACTTTGTCTGCCTGCCCTTTTGCGTCTCTTTCAACAGACATACCAATCCATCGCATGGCCGGCAATTGCCTAGCACACAACCAAGACATCCCACACTGTTTGACGACTACCCATTGATCGCTCGCTCGCCCGAAATCGATCCTCCCGCAGGTACATCTTTTCGCCACCGCCCACAGCAGACGGCACATGTACCTCTGTACCTGCTTTGTACCTCGACTGCCAGTTGTCTCCGACCACTGCAACCTGTTCATTCATTCGCCTTCAGAGCCATCCCATTCCAGTCCCTCGCCAGCGCCAGCGTCGCCCGACCTTACCCAACTGCGCTATTCGTCGCAGTTTCTGTTCGCCTCTTTTATTGAGAATTTTCCTCTTCAGTCTTTTCTCCGCTTCGTCCGCCCCGGCCGTCGGCCTTCACACGCTTTTCGCCTCTTCTGTCCCTGGCCGCCTGAAATCCGGACCGGCCGATCCAGCTACGAGGCGCAGCACCGCCAGTTCTTCCGACGAGGCGGTGGTTTGCACTTCGATTCCTCAGCTTCATTCAGCACTCGTCACCACCACAGCCCCAGTGTCTCTGCACTGTCAGCCATTCGTTCGCTGTGCCACTTCCAGGAAGACAAGCGCCTTCCACGGGCCTTGCTCCCCCCCTTTCTGTATCTCAACCCTCAGCCGTTGGTCAGCACCGGATATTTGCTCTCACGCTTTCCAAGCAAGTCGAGCCTCGTCCATTCCCCTAGAAGCCGAACGCGAGGCGCAGATCCCGTGCACTGTACTTCTACAGCACATTTTACCTTTCACGCGACGGACCCCTAGACGCGGGTGTGACCGCTGCCGCCCGTTACCCTACTATTTCGCGCAACACATCACTAGCAAGACAGCACTCTTTCCAGTGATAGTTCGGCCAAGAACATCGCCTGTCTCACCTCCGGCCACTGGACTGCACACAGACCCGTCTGGTACTCTCTGTCTGGTCCGTAGGCCCCCTTGTGGCTACACTCCCCCCTTCGCCTTCCCCTCCTTTTCGAGCCACCCAGAACCACATCCAGCCCGCTATTTTCGCCGCCGCCCCCAATCAGACCCCAGCAGCCTTCAAGGACTGGCCCTTCCTGACTCTGACCTCATCAGGTTTCCAACTAGAGTCCCCCGTCCGGCCCGTCTCCTGTTCAACTCAACCTTCCAACCATCAATCATCAACCCACACTGGACCGCTGTAACCTGGGACTGCCAGAGCTAGGGGCCACGACAGATCGCCTTGACGTCGTTGTCCTCGTTTATTGAACCCATTCTCCTCTCGTTGTACTCCTTTTCTCTCTCTCTTTTCTGTTGCTGCACTTCCACACCTGGGTGCATCAGGCGCCAATCGTCCCTCCGACCACCAAGCCCGCCTCGTTCACAGGCGACCATCCCTCGAATTCCCGAACCCCCCCAAGAGAGGCTCACCTTGCACCGCCTCACCCTCACCCCAACATTGCTCGCTGCCGCATCGATGCAATAACAGCTCCTCGCTGACATCGCGTTTTTGGAACCTCGAGCGACGAATACTTACATCCCTGGCATCCTTCCGCCCGCCGATTCTTGTCATACGGAATCAATCATCCCAGTTCAGACACTTCTCAGATCAATCGTTTGCCGACATGACCTCATTACAACCTTGTCCTTACAAGGTCTTGGGTGTCTCCAAGGATGCGCAGTTGTCCGAGATTCGAACTGCGTATCGTAAACTTGTACTCAAGTGTCACCCTGACAAGGTCCAGGACCCAGCTTTGAAGGCGGCCAAGCAAGATGAGTTCCAGAGGGTTCAACAAGCTTATGAGCTATTGGGCAGCGAAGAAGAACGCTCCAAATACGACGATCAGATCAAATTGATGGAACTCCAGCAGAAGAGACGGAACGTCGAAGCAAACACATCGGCCGCCCGTACACCTCCTCGTTACTATGAAGTCCGCACTGCAGAGCCCCGACCCGACTCCTACAAGACGAAGACATCTACTCGCGCTCCTAGCACAACCGGCTCCAACATGTACTCAAATTACCCGCCGTCTCGCTCCTATGAGGACGGATTTCACAGTTCTGCCCGTTCTGAAGAAGCTGCGCGGAGCGCTCGGCGTGCTGCTTCCTACGACGACAAGCCTTCGAAGCGAGACGATGAGCGAGAGCGAGAGCGTGATCGCGAGCGTCGACGCAGGAAAGAAGACCAAGAAGAGAAGGAACGGCTTGTGAAACAGGCTGACAAGGCTGCGGAGAAGGAAAAGGCGGCGGAGAAAGAAGCTCGCCGTGCCGAGAGGAAACGACTGGAGAAGCTGCAGGAGAAAGAGCGGAGGCGAGAGACGGAGGACAAGCGCAGCAAGCACAAGTCGGCCTATGTGGAACAATACGACGACGAGGACTACCGCTCACCTGCCAAGGTCGATAGGAAGAAGTCAAGTTCTTCTTCTTCCAAGAAGCAAGATGACAAGGAGAAGCGCGAACGTGAGCGCCTCTCTACTCACGGAGTTGAGCCGCAACATATGGACAAGACCCAGATGGCAATGATGGACGCTGTCCGTTACATGACCTCCGCGCGACAGAAAGCTCAGCCGCAATTGAGCCGGTCCCAGACGTACCAAGAGCCCTACCGGTACGCACCTCCAGCTGCGGTCCCGACACCTCCATCGGCCCAGGAATCCCAATTTCAACCTCCTCCTAACGATCCAATCTCGGTGGAGGAGGATGACGCCCCCCGTCGCTCAGCTGCTAAACCATCTCCTAGACGCTCATCTGAGGCCCCCAAAGCCCGGGAGAAGTCCAGTCACAAGAAATCCTCGTCTGGACCCAAGGATGCCCCCGCCACAAGCCCGATTGCGGTTGATCTGTCTTCGGCCCGTGTGCCCCCGTCTTTCTTGAACGCTGGTACCACCCCTCCGATGGTTCCCGAATCCCCGCCGCGCAAGACGCAGCTCCCTAGGGCCAACACGATGAGGGAGGCAGATTACAACCGACCATCGCCACAACCTACAATTTCAAGGTCACAGACATACCACTATGCCGGCGATCACGACATGCGGTCTCCTGCGAGCGCGGATCCCCGCGGCCGTAGCCGGAATCGCCTCCAGCCGCAGGTCAGCGAAAGCGACTCTGATGTCGAGGAAGCCGAGCGCCGCTACAGGGAAGCTCGCCGACGCGAACGTCGCCACAAGACGCACTCTCCGGAGCCGCTCCCGCAAGACTATCCCCCGCCACCTCCGCTGACCCGCGCCACGACGGCTCGATATGCCGTCAACAACGGGCGGACAGTACCGATGCATGGGGAGCCGGTCTATGCATACCGCGATGAATCCCCTCCCAGGAAATCAAAGGGATCTTACTATCCTTCTGCACACGTGCGCGTGGCCGAAGTCCGACCTCAAATGCCTTCCCGCGAGGGTGCCTACTCCAGCAGTGGCGGAAGCCCCTACTTCGGGAAGGTCAAAACTACCAAGAGCTACACGCCCGACGACGTGCAATACAGCAACATCCCCCATCACCGAGGCTACCACGAGGAGGCATATGCCTGAGGTGCCATCCGGCGCCTTGCGTGGCAATTTGCTTTCACGGGGCGGCTTCGCGCCATGTGTCAAACTCATTTTCATCTATTCATTTCTAGTTTGGTTGTGCAATTCTGTAAGGGCGCCACTCCTGGGCGCGGGTCCGTACAGCAACGACGACCGTGATGTCTTATTTGATAGTTTTCTGCGTTTTTGTTTCGGATATCCATACATGGGGCGCGATGGAGTGCATTTTGGGGGGAAGTGAGAAGGGATACATGATGGGCATCGTGTTCACAAGGTTGCGTTGCATCGGCTCACTGGACGTAGCGTGCGGCACTGGACGTGAGTTTGGCCGCCGCAACGTTGATCGTCCACAGGTCATGGCACTCTGCGCTGCTGCCACGTCGCGGGCCCTGTCGTTGGGTCGCAATGTGGTGCCAGAGCCTGACGGAGGGGCGGAGACGGGGCAACCTTGCTGGTGATGCCTTTGACTTTGACAAGCAGTCATGGAACCCTTGCTTTCATGTACGTTGAGGCGAGCCATACGGGAGATGATCTACGACACGATACACACACACACACACACACACACACATTCACAACTATTGCATATTGGGAGGGGGCCACGAATTTGCGAACGCACTTGCTTTTCTATTGTTTTCTTCGTGTTTTCTTTTGCCCTCTCCATTCGCCTACCGGAGTTGAGAACAGGGGGATACCACACTCGTTTCAAGGTTGATGAGACGAGATTTGACTATGCTGAGAAGCGAGGTCGCGCAGGCGAGGATTCTTCTTTCGTCATGAGGCCACAAGGCCAAGGTTGGAGCTGCAGTGCGCGTGCTCTGGCTACGTAATGTCAATAGACGTGCTGATTTATTCATCTGAGATGTTCCTCTGTGACTCTGCAACTGGACATGCGTTGAGCACCAATGTGTAAACAGCAGAGCCTTGGCCGTCTCGCGCTCTCTGTTCCATGACGTTTCCCCGCATCGTGATGGTCGTTGTTGGGCAGCAAAGGGGGCGGCTCCAGGCCAGGACCGCTGACGCCCAACTTTGACCTCGGGGACAGAAAGATGATGAATGGGAAATTAAATGTTACTGGGTCGTCGGGGCACCTTTGCAGCACTGAACCTTTTCGCCCTGCCTTTGCCGACTGCCGGAGGCGCGATCCTGGGCGTTGGGCTATGTTCTGCATTCGCGTATCGGAAGGCGTCTGTTTCTTGGTACTTGCTGCTGCTGCTGCTGCCCGATCCTTTCGGGCTTCCGACGCTCCCCACGTCGACGACCGTGATGATTCATCTTGAGTGAGCCACGGACCATTGTCACGCTAGGAAAGTTACGGCTCAAGGGCTTCAAGGGCGTCGTGGTGAGATGATTTGGAGAATCCTATGAAGCTATCCCGTGATAATGTGTGTGTGTACGTTCTCTTCTCCAAATGGCCAGTCCAGATGCACCCCCAACGCCCAATCTCACGCCCCCACCCAGAGCGAAAATACGAAAGTGCAATGGACAAGCCAAACGCCGTGACACCATCCATGATACCGGCTGGTCTGCCTGCAACCCTTGACCTACTTGGCGGCATTGTCCTGCATATCCCCAGGCAATGACTCAGTCGCCGCTGTGACAGCCGCCATCATGGCCCCTATCTGTTGCCTGCTTGCGGGTGAGCCTCCAGCGGGTGGCGCTTCGTCAGCCATGGTTCCACCAGTATGCATCTCGTCATCTTCTTCCGTCTTGACCACTGGCATGGTGCGAGGCTGAGCCGTTGCCTTGACTTTTTTCGGCGGCGCCAGAGCCTTGACGTTGGTCTTGGAAGAACCTCTGGGTTTCGGCGCGGCCTTGGGCTTCGGTGGCGCTTTATCAGCCTTTGGCCCTGCCTTTGGTTTCTCTTTGCCGCCTGCGGTCTTCTTCTTCTCCGGAGCTTTGAGCTCCTCCTCCTCCTCCTCGTTCTCGCTGTCGTCAGAAGTCATAGTTGTCGGCCGCTTTGGCAGCGCTCGTTCGATGGGCTGCCAGTATTCATGCCATTCGCCGAGTACGGCGCGTGTCGTTTCCTTGGCCGCCGTGACATCCTCCAATTGCGTGCCTTGAGATCTACCGGCGATCTTGCTCGCGGGGGCGCGCGCATCCCGCAGCAGGTTCTTGAAGATCTCGTCCAGTTTAACGAGACGAGTGCCGGGCTTGCTGTTGGGCGTATGAATGAACCCTCGTAGCTTGTTCACACGCTCCGTCTTGCTTGACACGAGCTCTTCCTCGATAAAGTTCCGAGCCTCCTGGAGCATTGCAGGTAGTTTGCTCTCGAATTGTTTTTTCACGACCCTTCTTTGCTCAACGAAAGCCCCCACGCCTGCAGCGCCATGTTAGCGATTGCACCAGCGCAATGTCAGCACTGTACGACAAAACCTACCTGTGATTGAGAAAGCCTTCGCAAAGACTGGAGCCATGTGCTTGGTGAAAATGTCAGAGACGCGTGGCTTAAGACGCAGGGCATCGTTACGAAAGTCATTGCCAGTGCTTCGGACTTCTTGGAGAAAGACGTCTCTCTGGGTATGCAGCGAGGGGACACGACGCCGGAGGAGGTCGCGAAACACGGCTGGAATTTCGTCGTCGGTGACGAGGTCAGTGATGAACTGATTGAAAATCCTCGTGTTGCGACTCTCGGCATCGTTGGTTATCTTTGGTAGCCTCTGGAAGAAAGCTTCTTGCCAGAATCTTGCATGTGCACGCCAGAAGTTGAGTGAGCTAACTGGAGTTAGAAGCCGTTTGCGCCAGGGTCACGCAGATTTGGTTGACTTACACGGACGACATCCAGTTATATGTCATTCGAGGCTTCGTGGAAGTTGTCCATTCGCGGCCGCCCCTCCTGACGCATGCCTTGTAAGTCATATACGAAACCTTTTCGTTTCTCTCTGGGTGAGAAACGTGAACTGAAGGCCTTTTGTTTTCCCACTGTTCTTGGGCGTGCAGCGCGCTCTCGCAAGCACGCTGCGTGGGAACTTCATCGCCCTTCTCAGAGCGTGCGGCACACGCTATTGTGGTGTTTCGGAGAGGCTTCAAGTTGCTCAGGCTTCTCGCGAAACATGCCAGAGGGGTTTTGAGTGCCTAGATCCTCTTGTCAGCCTGCAGCCCTAATCGAAATCGACGCATGGAGTATACCTGTAACAAGTGGTTCATCTTTTGGTCGAGCAAACGTTTGATCTCTTTCCCCTCTTCGGCCGAAATCCTTAGGCGCGCCGCACTTTCGTTCAACGACCAGCTATCAAGGGCATCCAACAAGGCTCGAGCATCAAGTATATCGTCATCAGCTCTCATGTCCCTTTTGGGCAAGTACGCACGCGTCAACCAGTCTCTGAGTGCAGGGATGCCTGTGTCGTTGGCATCAGCGAAGCCGATAACAGAGTCGCCAGCATTCATGTCAAGAAAGGCGGAAGCGCTAATAGGCAGCACGCTAGATTCGAACTCGCCAACCACTGGTATTGCTGTAGGATTGACCTGAGCTTTTATGTCGCCCAAGTTCTGACCCACGGCCTGCTTGACTTTGAGGTTGCGAGCTTGTATGCACAAGCGCTTGAGCTGCGACGTAAGCCTTTCTACGCCTCTCTTTCTGACATCTCTTTCGTTTCTCATCCCTGCTAGGCGTGATTCCTCCGCTGCCTGGGTGGTTGTCCTGGGATGGGGCCGTTTCTTCAGCGGGCTCCTGACTTCTGTTTCGCTCTCTTCCTCGTCATGGTCATCAATTTTTTCGCGTTGCCTAGAGATGAGTTCCTCGAGGTTGGCAAGCTCTTCATTTTCGGCCTCCAAGGTGCTGACTGCCGTCATGATGGTTTCGTCATCAGGAAAGTCATTTTCGGCGTTCTTCGGGTTGATGTCATCAACCTTGGTGACGATAACAGCAAGAGAGTCTGGTTCGAACCTCCCATCTAGCCCCATATCCATGGATAACGTGGCGGGCATAAGCATAGCGTCGGAGCCGGCTTTATTGTCAGCAGCTCGAACGGCGTGCACAACAACGATCAGCTTGTCGAGTCGCTCAAAAAAGTCTTTGGCCACGGCTGCGCGCGACTCGAGAGAGTCAGCAACTCCTGGGAGGTCAACGAGCTTGATCCCGTGCCGTAGGATATCAGATTTGAGTTGTATCTCCACCTGTTGCACCAAGGGCCAGTGTTGTAGGATGCCACGGCTGCGACCGGAGCTGTCAATGTATGGCTTGAGAGTCTTGCGGAACCGTTTAAGATTCGAATCGTTGATTTGCAACGTATGATTTTTCGTGCTGTTCTTGGTGTCCAGGAAAGGCACCGTCTTCTTTTTTGCTTCGAGTATGATTTTGCTCGGCGCGTCGCACTTGATTTCATTCTCGGTCAAACCCGACCAGTTTTGCACGCTCTTGACTTGTTTCTGGGCCTGGTTTAGTCGACTGACCGTCTCTGCCTGAACCAGCCCACCCTGCTCACGGGTGCTGTGTGCGATGTCAGACAGCTCCTCCTGTAACAGCTCAAGGTCATGCGCTATTGATTCTGTGCTCTTGAAAGTGATGATGGCGCGAAAGACCTTCTCGGGGTCATCAGAATGGTTGTAAGCGTAGATGCAAGGGGCAGCGGTGCAAGCGTCGGAACTGTTGGTGGGGGAGATGTCGTATCCGAGCATCGCGTTGGTGGCTGTGCTCTTGCCAGCCCCTGTGTCGCCGGTGAGGCCTACAAGCCATTCTCGTTTCAAGGCGGATCTTTCGAGTTTTACTGCATCTGTTCAGGGATGAATGATACATGTAAGTTGTAGACAAAGACATACCTGATCTCCCGGGCCAGTCGGCTATGTCGCTGATGTCAGTAGGGGCAAGTTTCCCGAGCATGAGTCTCTGACGCTTGAGTATATCGAGTGCGAAGTGAATGGCATCCTCCTTCACTTGGACGCGCTTGCTGATATCGCTAAGTATTTTGACGTCGGTAGGGCTGGTGGGGTATTCGGCCTTATCACCACCCAGCTCGTCATCTGCACCTTCCGCGACCACGTCGCTCATGTTGGGCAGGGGTGGTGCGTGCTTTCTGTTGGAGGAGCTTGCAGTAATGATGTACAAGACGTGAAATGGGCTGGTACCTGTGAAGCGTCAACGAAGCATTCGTTGTGTTGAACTGAAGTAAGACGAAGGGCGGGAGTGGCCTGTGACGGGGAAACCCTCGGGACGATGACAATGGATTCAGTGAATCGGATGACCGAAACAGAGGCGACTGCTGATGTAGCAAGTGCTCCGGGTGCTCATCCTTTGGGCGGAAGGAGGGAAGAAGAGACAAAGAAGTTGAGAGGTGTGACGACGAGTGTATATGAGCGCGTCTTGGGGAAATGATATATATCGATAGAGATGAGTCAAAGGTTGTGATTTGAGGGAAGAGTGGAACGAGGCAGTAGATGATGTGGGAAAGAGAGATGATGTGAGGGGATACAAACTGGCCCCAAGATGATCCGAGGTAGAATACGGAGCTGAGATATGCAGAGATGTTGACGGTGAGTACAATGCAAGGATCTAGCTCGGAAAGGGCTGCTTTGATCAAGTCTAACTCAAGCCGAAGGGTACTCGATGGCGTGTTGACGATGATTAGATTCAAGCGAGAAGGGCATCGGGGAATCCAACTTTTTTGACTGAAGTCCGCACTGGAGAAGTTATGTAGTAAGGAGTGGTCGGTTGTGTTGTGCCAAACTGGTGTCGATGGCAAGAGAAATAGATGGGAGGGTAATGGAACGACGCATTGATCTTGTTCGGCCCTGTTACAGGTGGTAGGAAGAAAAGAGGAAAGTCGGGAGTGCAGAGCAGGCAGTGGAAAGAGGTGGATTTCTTAGGTCATGTCGGAAGGAACAGCTATCATTCGGGTTGTGATTTGGAAGCAGCAGGAATTTAGAGATTGAACGAGCAGGCCAGAAGTCTAGAGATTCATAGTAGTATATCAAACCTCAACAATGGCTGCCTCACCACTATGCCGGTCAAAAGGATTAGAGTGTGTTCAGCTTCCCATAACTTGATCTGAAAAAGTCCATCTATTACTCTCGGGTATTCGCAATTGGTCGTCATTCTATGCGCGCTTCTCATTCCATGTGGGCTTCTTCTCAAGCAGCTCGCACGCCTCCTTGATCTTGTTCGTCGTGGCCGAGAGCCGAGCCCAGTCAAAGAGGCCATAATGATGGCCGTCGACGTCGAGAACCTCGCCAATGAAGCCAGGGTGGTACTTCCCCCAGCCCAGATCTCGCTGGTCTCGAAACAGGTCGACCCGGCTCACCTCACCAGCAACCTTGGTCGGCACGCCGTCCGTGGCTTTGAGGAGCACCGTCGGCGGCGGACCCCCAGGCACGCGGGGCACCGTGGCCGAGTAGCCGTTGACGCCGACCTCGGCCGGCCTGTCGTCCTGCCATGGCCACTGCGGCAGCTCCCAGCTCTGAATCATCTCCACGGCGGCCGTCATGGCCTGCCTCGCCAGCAGGACGTTCTTCCTGGGAGGGTCCTCTGTCATCGACCCACATTGTCTCCGAACTTTCTGTATCTCCGTCTGATAGTCCTTCCAGAGAGGAATGTGAGTCCACCATGAGGAGGCCCGGCGACCTCAAAGTTGTCGTCGCCCTCGAGCAGCCGGCCATTTTCCAACGCCAGCATGCCGCCGAAGCTCCAGCCGCCGAGCAAGACCCTGGGCGCGGGCGGCCCCGTTGTCGGGGAAGTCGTCCGAGTCGACAGTGCGGCGCACCATGGCGACGTACAACTCGGCCATCTCGCGGATGCCGCCAGGGCCCAGGGGGGCGCCTGAGTGGAAGTGGGGGTTGGCAATGGCGTATACAGGGCGGCGAAGCGGGTCGAGGCAGTGGTAGGCGAAAGAGGTGCCGCCGCCATCGTGGATCAGGATGAGGGGCGTCGTGCCGGGGGCAGCATGCTGCGGGTATTGCACGACCTCGCAGAGGGGGTGCAGCATGGTGGTGGACGTGAGAGCAGAGCAGAGCAGAGCAGAGCAGCGGTGAGGCGTTCTTGCAAGGGGGTTCTTAGAAGCTGGCTGTGTCGGGGCGATGGTCGAGGGCCGCGCTGTCCGTGTCGGATGTGACTTGGTCTTCTGTTCAATAGTGGTAAGGCTGACGGTGTGTTTTCACGACGGGATCGGGCTTTCGCCCTCCAGGACTTCAGGTTGAACGACGCGTCGAGAGCAGTCAGCTTGAAGGAAGGAGGGCGGGATGAGTGACCATTAGAGGACCGGCACTGTGTGGACCCTTCTTGTGCTGCCAAATATGGCTTCGAGGTGCTTGAATGTACAGTGCGCATGCTGTAGGTTCTTACTTGCCTTTCCTGAATGTTGCCTGCCTTCTCTGCCAATCTTGACGACTGATCTCGAGCAACTTCATGGCTCGTCAGTTACCAAGGTATTCCAGAATCGCCTCGGGCGCCACATCCGGACCTTGGGTGCGCTTCCGAAAGATTACTTCAAGCCTTGGATCAGAACCGAGTTCATGCCGATCACCATGTTGGTGCAACGACGCCGCCACTCGTCATGATTCCCAAGCCTAGCAGCCTCGTCGCCATGGGCTGTCAGCAGCAGAGAAGGAGCACTTCCATCCGAAGGCGTCAACATGATATTGCTCCTCATCGGTAAATCATTCATTAGACAGAGATTAAAGGAGGCTCGATCTAGATCCTATCTCTCTCTCCCTCCGTCTCTCTGTCTTTGTCTCTCTCTCCAAGTATCTACCCCCGACACCGCAACCACCGCCAAGCCCGAGAAACAAGCTGCATCCAAGCATGCGCATCACTCAGCTTTTGCCCGTGCTCTCCATAGCCGCATGCGTCTTGGCTCTCGAAAACGGAGGTTAAGCTGGCACCTGAGGCTTTGGACAGTGTTGAATGTTATTCGGCTGCTGAGCTTGATGCAGTGCCGGCCGGCCTGCCGGTTTCATACTCGCGCTCCGACGTGGACCAGCTGGCATTGGAACTTGTTGAGACGGAACTTGTTGAGAAGGCAGGCGCCGAGGATGGATGGGATGACTTGATACTGCGAAAAGATAAGAGAAGAAGAAGAGGATCAAGAGACAGATGCTGCCCACGAGATTCTACCTGACGGTCCACATGCGGTGCATGCAGATATGTACGGGTGAAAGTGGTGGCAAGAAACAGTGCCGCAAGTCCAGGCCGTAAGTCCAGCTGGCAACCCCAAACCGCTGATTGTTGTATCATTGGAAGAAGCTCTGACGTGGATTCAAGGTCGTTATTGCCCTCCCAGACCCTACTGGCTTGAGGTCGTCCAAGGTGGTCCAACGTGAGGACTCACACAGGTCAGGCGGCTTGGACGCAAAGGTGGAAGCATGCACCCTCGACACCAAAAAGGGACCGAAAACTCAAGGACCGTTGCGAGTTCGTGTTCCTATTCCGCCGCGACCTCGCTCATAAGGGGTGCGCAGGCTTTCTCAGACAGTTCGGAATCCAAACTCTGCTGCCCATATATTTACATCCATCTTGCACCGCACCTTGATGACACGAGAAATAGAATTTTGAAAGGGAAGAAACCTTCAAACCTCTCGCCTATAAAGGGAGGCTCCTGCTCGTTCAAACGGCACAAGAACTCCTGCCTGATACCATCCTCTTCAACAAGTCCTGACTCTTCTTCAAGTCATCCCAGCTTTCTTGGTACCTTCCCAAGCACGGCACTCGAGCCAAGCACACTCGAGCCAAGCACACTCGAGCCAAGCACACACGAACCACGCACACACAAACCACCCACCCACCCGAAGCAACAAAATGCGCGTGTCGTGCGTCTTCCAGGCCCTCGCGGCCGTCGCGCTCGTCTCGGCCGTCGCGCTGCCCGACCCGCGCCCCGCCGACAACGACGCCCTGAACGTCTCGAGCGATCTCAAGGCCGCCACCGAGCCTGAGGATGCCGACGCCGTGGCGAAGGCCAATGGGCTCCTGAAGCCCATCGAGGACGACATCAACATCTACATATACGACAGGAAGGGCAGAAGGATTTCAAGGTACGGGAAGGACAAGAAGGTCCTAGAGTCCGAGGCGTATGAGGAGGAGGAGGAGGAGGAGGAGGAGGAGGAGGAGGACGACTACGAGAGGGACTGGAAGGAGGAGAAGAAGAAGAAGAAGAAGGCGGCCGAGAAGGAGAAGAAGAAGAAGGCGGCCGAGAAGGAGAAGAAGAAGAAGGCGGCCGAGAAGGAGAAGAAGAAGAAGGAGGCCGAAAAGGCCGAAAAGAAGAAGGAGGCCGAAAAGGCCGAAAAGAAGAAGGAGGCCGAAAAGGCCGAAAAGAAGAAGGAGGCCGAGAGGGAGAAGACCCCGAAGGAAAAGGAGGAAGCCGAGAGGGAGATGAACAGGAAGAAGGCCGAGTGGGCCGCGTCGGACAAGAAGAAGGCGGCGGACGCTAAGAAGAAGCTGGAGAAGCAGAAGGCGAAAGAAGAGAAGCCCTTGAGGGACAAGAAATATCAGGATGAGATGCCCCCGAGAAAAAAGGCGATCCAGGAGGCCCTCAAGAAGGCGGGCATGACAAAGCCGTTCAAACACCCCAGGGCAGAGTGCATAAAGAAGTGCGTAAAGATGTTTTTCCCAATCCTTTCTTTCCCTTGCAGTAAGTCAACCCCCCCCCCCCCCCTCCGGGCTCCCCGGAGACTTTTCCGGCCTCAATTTCTAATGGTCGTGCACAGTGTCGGTATGCTTGTTGAGGTATGCCTGATCAAGTCAAGGCGATACCTTGGGCCGCGTTCAGTGGGTGGTGGGGAGAGCTGTTTTGATGAGGGTTCCGCAGCTGGATACCAAAGGAGAGCTCATGTTACACAATACAGTTACCGCCGTTATGGAATATCATGCATTGACACCGCAGGGAGTGTGTCAAAACCGGACGTGACCGACCGTGAGAGCGTGTTTCCACAGACAGCCATACCATCTGAAGCCATCGCCTCAGGAGCGACAGATCCGAGAGCCCGCAGTGGCTGTGTGCGGGGGACGAGGATGTCAAGGTAATGGGAGGTAAGAAGACAAGCAGTACATGCAGGCCTGAACCCTCGAAAGTTACAGGTCAAGCCCGGCACTCTGGCGTGAGGACAGCCGTTAGGAGCTTTCCATTTTTAAGCCATCATGCAGCCACAAGGATCCAAGCGCTGGATACTGAGCTGGTCAGAGGAAGAACATGCAATGCTGTTTCGCCAGCGGGATCTGGTTTGGTCCATGTCGAGAAAGGTCGAACTGCCAGTTCTTGGCCAGCTGTTTTGAAATGCTTCGGGGCACCATTGATTGACCAGAAGGGGACGATGCAACCAGGACGCGTAGAGGCATGGCACCAAGAGCAGTGAGAGGCATGATGTTTCTGAGCCCGGTCTCGGCTCGACTCAAAAACGGTTTCCGTTGTGATTAAGATGATGTCTAAAGTCTACTTGGTCGAGCCATACTCAGGGGGGGTATCTATACTATGTACTTGCGCAGCGCCCAGGGAACTCCAGACCCGACCAGCCATCATGACCCTCTCTCTCTCCTCACGCCAACCACACCCACTGCGCCGCGCCAAGCTCCTCCTAAACAGCCTCCCAGTCCATGGCATCCACCATAAAGTCAAACTCCTCGTCGTCGTCAACAGCCATGTCGGCGCCCGCCGTCCCGTCC